TGGGGGGCGAGAACACACAGGTGAGTGGGGGGGACAGGCCTGGGGGGGCGAGAACACAGGTGAGCGGGGGGGCAGGCCTGGGCGGGCGAGAACACATAGGTGAGCGGGGGGGGGGGGGGGGGCGGGGGTAGTGGGAACACACAGGATGAGGAGGGGGCAGGCCAGGGGGCAAGAACACACAGGGTGAGCGGGGGCGGGGGGCGGGGGGCTCACCTGGCTGGCCCTGCTGGGCCTGCGGCAGCAGGAACTGAGCGGGCGGCTGGAGGTGATGGCCGGGGACCAGCACCAGCTGCTGCAGCTGGAGGAGCTGCTGAATGTCCTGGGGGAGGGTGGACAGACACACAGACTGAGTCCTGCTGGGCCTCGGCCTCAGCACGCGGCTGCAGCCTGGACCACGGCGCCTGGCGCAGCGAGGGGGCTCGGAACAGCGCGGCGGCCGGGCGCCTGGCGGGCCCACCCTCCGAGCTGCCTGGGAGGCTGCTCTTTGCTTCTCCCTTCCTGGTGAAATGTTTGCCTTGCCTTACATTCCAACAGAACAAACAGACTTGTTTAAAAATGTAAACCACACCGAGTCCTTTCTCTCTTTAAAATGCTCCCAAGGCATAGATATGATGTCTGGAATTATCTCTAACACGCTCCGGCAAATAGCAGGTGTGTGCATTGGTACAGGCACTCGGAGAGAGCTCTGGCACTAATTTATGTCAGGAAGAGAGCTCAGGATGTGAACTGATTTACAGAGAGGGTCTCTGCAGACGATCAAGCGAGGACAAGGCCAAGAGAGTGCGCTGTGATGGTGATGGTGATGGTTGACGGCGTCACTAAAAGGAGCACTCAGGCCAGGAGCGCGCTGTGTGCCCGCAGTCAAAGCCTGACTCTGAGAGGGAGCAGGGAGGCGGGAGAGATGGCCCAGTGGGTAAGAGAAGCTGCTGCTCTTCCCTAGGACCTGGGGTCAAATCCCTGCACTGACACTTGGCCGCTCACAACAAGCCCCTGTAACTCTAGGTCGGGGGAAGCCAGCCCCTTCTCCTGGCTTCCATGGGCACCCGAGCACGTGTGCACACACAGGCACGCATGTACAAATAACTTATCGGTAACAGAAGTTAAATGATTCTTTTGAGACAAGGTTCTCTTTTGTAGCCCTGGCTGGCCTAGAACTCAAATCTGTAGACCAGGCCGGACCTGAACTCATAAAAAGCCGCCTGCCTCTGCCTCCCAAGCTGGGACAGAAGGTGTGCGCCACCACTACCCAGCTGACAAAAATCAAATCTTAAAGAAAAGAAGAAAAAAATGTTAAAAAAAAGAGCATGGTGGCACACGCCTGTAATCCCGCCGACCGCTTGAGGGTGCCCAAGGGCAGCGGCCCAGGCTGCGGCCGAGAAGCTGGCGGGGGAAGCCTGGACGGCGGCCTTCGTGGGTCTCCGAGGCCGAGCCGGTGAGCGCGCCCGGCCCTTTACCGTGCAGCCTGGAGCATCGGGAGCACGGACGGCCCGGCCGGCCTCTGCCTCACCACCGGGATGTGGTGGGCATTGGTGGGCATTCTGCACAGCCGGGACGGAACCCGGCACAGGCCGCGCCGGCTCCGCTCCGCTGAGGAAGCACTGGGGCGGGAGGACAGATGCATGGGGGCAGTGAGCACCCTTTCTCCTCAGGCCCGGCCCCCCCCCCCGGGGGGGGGGGGGGGCATGGAGCTGAGCGAGTGAGCGGGAGGGGCGGCGCCCGGCGCGGGCCCGCGGCGCCCGCCCCGGCGCCCCCCCCCCCCGGGCCCCCGCGCCCCCCCCCCCCCCCCGCCTGGCTGCAGGGTGCCGGCTGTGGGCTAGCCTCAGCAGAGCAAATGGTGGCCAGCCCTGGACCCCGCCATGAACGAGGTCCAGACCGGAGAGGGGAGGAGGCGGCAGGTGGCGGGAACCGCACGGTGCTCTAACGGGGGGGGGGGGGGGGGGGGGGGGGGGGGGGGGGGGGGGGGGGGGG